ATATGTAGGAAACAAAAAAACTTTGTCAAACTAAAAATATTCACAGGAATATTATGAATATTCCAAAAATCTCAACCGAACATGCATAGGTCAGATTTCAAGAATTTTTATTCAATTTCAGTAAAATTTAAACAATTTCTTGTTTATATTTAATTAAAACTCTATATTCAAAACAAAAAAAATTGAATTAATCAAACTAAATAATTTAAATCTTCTCACATTAAAATACCACAGTGCATCGAATTGAAATTGAATGGAAACACAATTCAATAAGTTACTTTAAGCTAACTAAATTAGATATTTTATTAACATATGAATTAAATTTTGGAATTTTTCAATACCATAAGCCAAAATATTAAACGCAAAGAAAGAGCATAAAAAAGAAATGAGGATAAAATGACGAAGGATTAATGCTCAAAAGAAATCTCGTCTTAAGAAATCTTTTATGGACAGAATTATTCATAAAAAAGAAAATGATGGTGTAAATTAAAATTTCCTTAAATTATGCTTCCAATTTGAACCTGCAAATCAGAACTTTTAACTTGAAATTTTTGAATAAAAAGGCACAGATCAGTGTTCTGATGAGTTAAGAAGTACAATTAATATGAATTATAAGTGTAGGGTATTTGAAGAAGTAATAAGTGCGGAATAAAAATTTTGGCGTAAAAAATACATTGGCTTTAGATAATATTAATTGAAATTAATAATTCATGATAAAATATTAATTGTTTGAATGTAAAGTATTATAAAAGCTGATAATTTCGTTGTTTTATGCTTTTATTTACCGTGAAATAAAATAGAATTTTTATAAAACTATCAAAACGTAAAAAAAAGAAATATGTAAAAATTATGAATTATCAGGTAATTTACAATAATAAATAAAAAATTTAAGAAATTAAAAAAAACGAAATAAATAAAAAATGTAAGCTAATTGATAATTGCTGATGAAAGATAAGATATCCGTTGTCTTATTGATATTATCCATGATAATTAAGATTTGCAAAAAATAATGATTTCTTTCAAATCAGTGGAAATAAACAAGAAAGAGTAAGCCTTCATACCTTTTTTCGACCTTTTGATCCTTTTTTTCAGGTGTTAAGGTCAAATATGTCTATTATTGAAAATGAATAATGATTGTTAGATTATAAAATGAAATTCTACAAAGAACATCTGTTTCTGAAAGAAAAAAAAGGATGAAAAACAAAAAAAAATCAAACAGATGGGTAAAAGGTAAAATAGCAAATTGTTGTTTAAAAGTGATGGAAACAATGAGAAATCTGAAATTAGGTGGGGTGAAAATTTTTCATTTAAGAAGAAATGGCAGAAATTTCAAAAAATATTTTTGAGAAGAAATTCATTTTAAGGATGAATTAATTATAAATAAATGTGTGCCAATTAATGTTCAGAAATAAATCAAATATTTTTATACATAAATGATAAAACAGCAAAATAATTTTTTATTTAACAGATTAAAATAATACAATTAAACATTATAAAATAATTAAGATTGAGTTGAAAGTTTTAAAAATTAATCATTTTTATAAATTGCAATATAACACAAAAATAAATTCATAAAATAAACGTATAACAATTAGCATTCAAAAATTACGAATAAAATATATCAAAACATGTAAAAATAATGAAAATAAGCAAATAAATATGAAAAATTGAAATGATAAATGAACTAAAAAATGAATTAATGAATGAATGAATGCAAAAAAAAAAGAAAAGAAAAAGTCTGAAATAAACGAAATTTAATTTAAAATAAAAATTAAGTCATGCATTGAATGAATGGTGCTAAATCGAATTAAATTGATGTATTAAAAATGAGAAAGAGGGAGAGGAAGATAAAGAGGAAAGGGAGAAAAGAGGAGGGGAAGAAGATTTGTTTGGCAATAGATGAATTGAAAATGCCACGTGTGATGATGGTCATTGACGAAATGGCGAGATGACGGAGGGAGGAAGGGGGGAGGAAAAGAGATAGTTGGTTTTGAGTCATATATATATATACATAGTTGACAATAACGAATCATTGTCCTTTCATGGCTGATGACGATAACAATAATAATGATAATAATAATGATGACGACAATGATGGCGATGATAATGATGAGGATAAAGATGTGATGGAAGAAGAAGAAGAAGAAAATCATGAAATTTATTTCAAAACAGATACTTATACATTCATCCATCCATCCATCCATCCATGCACCTATCTTTCATTGATCATTAACCACTACATACATACATATATATATACGATGATCAATGAGAAATGTTGCATATATATATGTATCATTTGGTATGTATAAGATTCGTCTGTCCTGCATGTAATACATAACTTTGAACATATCAAAAATCTCGGTCATATTATCATCAAATTTCTCTCTTTCAACCTAACTATAACTAAACCAATTTATTTACCTATAATAATACCAGGGAATGAACGAATTAATATTATCATTGTTACTGATAGGATTAGATTTAGAGAATGCTTAATAGTTATCATAACGGACACAGCATTATCCGTTTTTTTTTCTTCTTTTGTTCAAATATTTTCATTTGTATAAATTGGATAGGATGATGTTAAGCTATCATAATATGTAATTTTAGTATCATTTAAGATAGTAGATTTTATTAGGAACACTGTTATTAGTTATCCTGAATTATCATATCGTACAATTCGATTATCATTTTGGCATTTTTTTTTAATTTTTTTTCTCCCAATATCTTGTCATATTAAATTAATTTCACAAATAAAATTCATTGTAATTTTCATACTGCTAAATTAATCTAACTTTAACAAAATAATAACTAAAACAAATTCTGCAGATATTAGCCGGAGCGGTAATGAAACGATAATAAATATTATGCAGTAAAATTTAAAAAGAAAAGTTTAAATTTTAAATAAAATAACCAATATAACCAGTAATTTTTCAATTGGATATTTTATATTATTATTAATTTTAACAAAAGGAAAATAATAATAATTGTTATTATCACTTCAGTATAAAACTTTCCATATATTGTATGAAACATTATTACAAAAGTTAATTCTTAATCATACACATATCACTGTCCTACAAAATGTCTTTTGAACAATTTTATTGCTTTGATTTTGCCACTTCTCCTTCATTTACAGAATGTTTTAATTACATTGAAATTACAAACTTAAACAAAATTTTATCGAAATACTAAACGTATATTTTCATCTGTTAAATTGATAGAGGTATATGTAATTGAAATTTCCTTTCCATCTTTTTGCTATTCTGATTCAATATCATATTATTGACATATAACTTTTTTTATGACATGATTATCATATTTAAATTGAAATTCATACACACATTCATACACACAACAAACATATACACATAAAATTATGATAATATAAAAGAAAACTTTTCGGTTACAGTTATCATTTATTTGCTATAAGTCGTTTGTTACGTATATAAAAATAATAGTTAAATTCATAGTTTTTTTGCGCTAGTTATGAAAAATTAAAGAAAAAAGGAGATTGTTGTTATTTTCGAATTTACTTAAATTAGCTATAAACATTTAGCATATCACGTCTGTTACATTGAACATTTGAGAAAAATTGGTCAAATGTATTCACAAAAATGATAATTTATGCAAATAGATGTGTTTGTTAATATAGTATTATTTTTGATGAAATCAAATTATTGTAAAATTCCAATATAAGAAAAGGAAGAAAAAAAAAACTTCAAATAAAGCTAATGCTTCAGAATGATTAAAAAATTTTTTTCATCTTTAATTCTTGCACTTTTTGTATGAAAGAAACTTTCCGTAATTAATAAATTCAAATCTCTAATGAGTGTTTCTTTGGCAATTTATTATATTAAAAATTATTTTTGCTTTTATCACAATTCATCAACTACTAACTTTTGTCAGAAAATATTAAAAGAAAAAATGAATTTTACCATTTGGATAAAAAAAGAAAGGATTGGCGGATGAGAAAAGCAGACAATATCTTTCCAAAATTTATATAATTAAAAATTCCATTAATACTAGAACAAAACTTTTTCTTTTTATGAAATTTCTTTCAAAAATTTTTTTTTCTGTTAGGGAATAAACTTTTATATTATACATTATGCGATGTAAAAAAAGAATTTAATCACTTAAAATTAAATCTAAAACTAATAAATTTAAAAATCTAAGCTTCTAAATTCAGAAAAAAATGAAAAATAATTAGGACATAATGAATTATAATACGTACAGGTACTACAAATAAATTTCATGCCAGAAAATTAGCATGAAAATGAAATTATGTGCAGAAGTACAGGAAGACGTGATTAATTTCTATTATAAATTCATTTCAAAAAACGAATACTAACAGTATCATTCATGATGCAAAAATATATTTCTTATAGTTTGTATATTTTTTTCAGTTCATTTTTAGTTCAAATATATAAATTTGCTACATTTAAAAACAAATATACACATACTGTTCATCGATGAATACTTTGTATGGCTTTTCAAATCCTTCAAATTGTTCCAAATCTTCACGTAAAAAGAGTAAATGCCGTGGAATGCATAATCGATATAAACAAATTAACAAAAATTGCGATATCCAATCCTGTAATTTTATATTTTAACTTTTTCATTTCTTTCCACTTCCTTTTTTTATAACAAAATTTCACAAATTGTTAGAGAAAAAAATGAAATAAATAATTGTTTTAAGTGAAATTTGATTGAAAGAATTTTATAAATGTTTAGAGTAAAAATAATGCATACTTCATCATCGATATAATGCTCAAATTCAGTATATGCTATATTTGCTTTTGCAAGTATTTGACGTGTTGTTCGAGAAGTTTTTCCATAACGGCAATGGGAGAGATCAAAACAGTCGGGTATTATTTTATTTATTATCCTGAAAATACATTTACGTTGATAATTTTAAAATATAAAATATAAAAATCAAATTTGCATTGCTAAAAAAAATTGAAGTTTGAAAAATAAAAATAATTAATTTTTTTCAAAAATAATAGTTATATAAATTTGTCCAACTCACAATCTTATAAGTTATTAAAATATGTTCTGTATGTTTCAATATTGTAAAATATGTATACAAACGTATTTATTATAATGATTGCCTACAATAATTAATTTTATTCTGTCATATACGAATATGTGTATTCAATTATTATATTTTACTGTACATAAATGATTATATGCTGTAATTGAATTTGTTCTACTTTATGTAAATGATTGCATGCTACAGTTAACTTTACTGTACAGCTGCATACTGTAATTAACTTTATTTTGCTTTATATGAATGATTATATCGTGATTTATTTGATTCAGCTATATGTGAAAGTTATAGTGAAACGATTATTCAATATGACTAACTTGATTGACATTGTTCAACTTTGCCGAATGAACTAATTGAGCAATTTTGAAAATTCAGATGATGACTACTTCATTCAATTATGTATAATTGTGTAAATATAAATTTCAACATAAATTTAAAAAATTGTTACTTGCGCAAATGTGTTCCATAGCGTAATGAATACACAAAATCATCCCTATCAATAAAGAGTTCTCGACAAGTTACCTAAAAAAAATAAAATTTTCAGTAAAAATATTTTGAATTTTTAAGATAATCAATAATACTTCAAGCCATCGAGCTAAATAAGATATCAATAACAATACTTCAAGCCATCGTTGAGATTCATTTATTGCCATATCTAAGAAGAATTCCAATTCATCGTTATCAGAATATTTTTTAACTTCAATTTGTCGCATCTTTCTGTAAAATGTTTAACAATTATTCTATAATGTTTAAAATTATTCAATTTTAATATTACACATTTGTTTTATTACCATTAAGGCTTATTCCGGCTAATAGTTTTTTAATGCTAAAAAATAATATCAAAACTATCACAAAAATTTCTTCCATTTTATGATTTTGCGCAGTTTTTACTTCTAAACGAATGGAATGAATCTTTAAGAGTTAAATAAATATCTTCATGTTAAATTGAAAGGAAGCAATGACGGAGAAAATGATGAATATCAAAGGAAGTTTTAATTAAACAAAATTTTATTCAATCATATTTTTACTTATATAATTTTTCGAATTATGATAAAATTTGTTGAGAGAATGAAAAATTACAAGAGAAAAAATTAATTTAAAAATAAGCTCAATTATACTAATAGTTCTGATAAATGAATGTATTAAATAAGTGAAAAAATGTTCACATTAAAGTGACTAAATTCGCACATTTAAGTTAATAATCTTGAAAGTTATCAAACTGTAAATCTGCATTATTGGAAAAAAGTTAAGATTTAAAAAATAGAAATAATTTTGTTAAGCACTAGTGAAATTCACTAAATTCTCGCTTTAATAATTTTGTTACAATATTTAAGAAAACAGAAAAATTAATTTGTTTTATAAACATTTGCAAAAATTTTTTGTGTTAAATAATGTTCTGGGAAATTATATTTGTAAGATGAGATAGACATTTTGAATGTTAATCAATCCGACAAAAATGAATAATAGGAATTAAACTCTGAAGGAATAAAATTAGTTCAATATGTAACAATTTTGTGTTAAAGAATTAAATTGTAGAATTTTGTTGCGCAAAGTTTTGTAAAAATTTCAAAATATCATCCTAAATTATTTTGATTTTAACATCGATGAAAACTGATAATGATGCGCTCTGATAAATAATAAATAGTTAAACACAGCAAGCAAATACGACGCAACAATTTCATACATTTAACATAGTTATAAAAGTTTGGAATGTGACAATTTCGAATTGGTATTAAAATTTATGAATTATGAGTTAAGAAATTATAAATTCACTTTCTGTAAAATTAATTTGCAGCCGCAAATTTGATATTTCAAATATTTACGCAATTACTTTTTTATGGATGTTGAAAAAAGGTATATGCTTTTTCTTATCTGATGAGAACAATACTTTGCTGAAACATTATGCCTAATAATTGACAAATAAGCAAATAATACAAAATGAAATGAATTCAAAATGAAAGTATAGAAAGGAATGGAAGTAAATGATTATCGAATATTATATTAGTTAATGTAAGATATTGAAAGCGAAAAATTATTCATTCTTACTTAATTAACAAATACAATACGTAGGCAACTGATTGAAATTAATAATGCCGAAAGTTGAAATTAGTTAAAATATTATGAAAAAAATGAGGTGAATTGAAGTACTGATAGTAATTGCAAAAATTGGTCGCAATTTAAATATAGAATGAAAAAAAAAGAGAAAAATTACACTTTCTGTCAGATTGAAAGTGAATGGAATACATCTGAAAGGAAAAATGTTCATCGTTTATTTGTGCTACATAGTGGAACGGAAAAAAAAGGTCAACAATTTTTTAATCAAAGTCAAAACAAAGAAAGAGTGTAACTTAAAATGGTATCATTTTATGTTGCTTTGATATTATATAGTTTGATAAATTAATTAAAAGATCAAATTTTTTTTGTAGCAAAATAACTTTTGCTATTGCGGAATGAAAATGTTGTTAAGAATGATAAAATTGTTAAAATAATTTGCAAAAAATTTATCTTTTACAGTATTTTAAATCGACCTAAATTTTTTTCCTAAATTTTAATGAGTTTGAAAACTGCCTGTTTTATTAAGTTAAAATTATTAGCATCAATGGCATTTAAATTTTTCTCGTAAAAATGAAATTAATATGATATTTAATTGCAGTCAGATTACAATAAGTTTAATTTTATTAAAAGAAAAAATAAATAATTTTTATCTGTCTTTTGCATTTAAATTTCAAATTTTTTATATATGGCAATTTTTGCTTGAAGAATTTTAAAGATTTGAATTTTCTTTTCTAATAAGCAAACAATTATTCCTTTATATTCTTCGTTTACTGCATTAATTATAAAATGTAGCATATTTAAATTGAAATTAGTAAATTTCAGAAGGAAATTTGATGAGCAAGTGAATTATGTATGACATAAAATTGTTAAGTGAAATATTTTAAAATTATACAAAAATAAGCTAAAATTTAAGCATATCAAATTCTACAACTGTTCTTTTTTTCAAAACGAAAAAAACATATGTGTAAATTTATGCAGAAAGAGTAATGTTATTCATTTACGTTTTACGATATATATAATCTGAGCATACATTTGTAAGCTAAACATTAGCATAAATAATTAGTTAGTGAAATAGTTAGTAAAATTAAAAAAGAAGAAAAATTAATATTGTTAATTAATTCGAAATAATTAATTGGCTTCAAATATTTAATGAAATTATACGGGAATATAAAATTTATATGAAAATTCAATGAAAAAAATGATAAAAATTAGGTCATGCAAGAAAAAGTATTACCACACATTATTTTGTTATCTGATTATGGTAGAATATATCAGATGTGCATCCCATTTCAATAAATAAATTTGATTTGATTCGTTTTTTGCTTGTTGGTGAAAATAATTTCAAAAATCCTTTTTTTTCGTTTTGAAAGCAGAAACCAGCAGTAGATTTGCTATGTAACAAAGCAAAAAAAAGCAGAAAAAACCTGATTTAAGAGAATTTGGCACGAAAAAAGATCTGATCAAAGTAATCAAAAAAAATGAGAACGAAAAAAGAAGGACAAATTTTTTATCAAAATAATCAAAATTATCGAATTGATCAAAGAAAAATTATAAAAGCCCTTTTTTTGTTGTTTTGTTTGGATATTTTAAGAATAATACTTAGATTATAATTGTAAACTAAAATATCCTATGAAAAATTATTTTTTTTATCATTGTAATTAATGAAATGACAAAAAGTATCACCAACCTACATGGATATTTGAAATAAATAAAATGGAAATGATACTAATTGGATTATTTATTAACTTATCTATCATCTTTATTTGTAATTTTTATCAAAACTAAAATTCATTATATTTAATAAGTTAAATAATAAATAATTTCAGTACCATTAATTTTTTCCACTATTTTTATAAGAATTAGCAAAATATGTATGTCAACTAAATCGTTTCAAATCATTGCGGAGGCAAAAATTCCTCTACGCATTTGTATGTCTAAAAGAGAAATGATAAATTATTGGGGCGACATTATAATGGCGCAATTGGACGCGAAGGAAAAAAAGAAACGGAAAAAAAAATCAAACCACAAACATTTGTGAATAAATGAAAAAATTTTCCATGATGACCTTGATTTCGTGTTAATGTGTTGGTGATGAAGAAAGGATTAATTAATTTTTTTTTGACTTGTTTATTTGAAACAAAAAGAATTTTTTTGTTGTCAAAAATTGGATTATGCTATTGTTAGAAAAAGAAATAAAACAAAGGTTTTAATTTCCAATTTATTTATCGTTAAAAAAAAACAAAAAGACAAAAAAAAAATGAAATATTAAAAGGATTTTCAAAGATTAAAAAAGAAATATTACAGCATTTAAAATGATATATTTGGAATGTTTATAAAAAATATTAGCAAAAATTTTCCATTATGAAATAATAAAATTTTTTATTTTTTTTAAAACAATTTCCATTAAATTTCATCAATTTCTGTGCATATAATTGCTGCCTGAATTCTTTGTTGTCGTCATTTTGAAAAAATTAAAAAACAGAAATTGATGAAAACTGTTTAAAAAATTTATCCACAGTTTGTTCTATTTTCACTCATTTGACATTTCAAAAGTTGCAGTATTTAAATTAGCCGAAATCTAATGCAATAATTTCAACAATTATTCCTATCAAAAGAATTAAAATTTATTGCCAAATATTAAGTTTTAATTTTAAAACGAACAATTTTCCTCCAAAATATTAGTGTGTTATTAAATTACTATGTTTCGCCCTGTTTTCTTTAATCCCAAGGTATTACTGCGGCAATTAAAAACCGAAATCTTTCATGGGGGGAAAGAAATTAAATGATTCTTTCATTCATAATATTTTCATTTCAAAATGTAAAATTATGACATTTACCAAAGAGGAGAAAAATAGAAAAATAACAAAAATAAATGGAGGAAATTATCATTTAAAGATATATATTAAACAGATTATTAATAGCATAGGAATAATTTTTTGGAAGAAAAACCAAAAATATGAATAAATTAGCATGAGAATGTTAAGTTAATAATTATAAATAGATAATATTATTATTTAATAAAATATTATCACATATGCATATTTAATTTATTGCAGTCAATTATTATGTTATTTTAATTCCTATTATAAATATCTGATTTTTTCATCCTACTTATCCGACATTTTATTATAAACGAAATTTGAAATGGGACGGATTTTATAAAAATTTATACGCATAAAAATTCAAGATTATTCA